AAGCCGGCAACCCCCCGCCACCACCTTGAGAGGCGCTCGAAGCCAAGGGTCTCGCTGGCTGCCACCTGGGGTGTGGCCGCGCCCCGGTGCCCAGTGGGGCCTGGGGCAAGCCGCGGCCGGGTGCATTGAGGGGTGACACGTGACACGGCCCGAGGATGATGTCATGAGGGGCTTGGTTACCATAGCAACAGGCCCATGACCCCAGGTGGGGACAGGAGGACTTGCTTGGTTTCCATGGCGATGGGCCCTTCCCACTGGAGTGCCTGTGACCCGGCATGAGGTGCTTGGTTACCATGCCAACGGGCATATCACACCTTCTTGCCATGGTGATGGACCCAAGTTATGCACCAAGGCACCCGGTTACCACGGAGATGGGCCCATCCCACCCACTTGAATGGCTGTGACCTGGCCTGAGGTGCTTGGTTACCATGACAACCGGTGTATCACACCCTCTCAGGCACTCCAGGGCCATGCAGTGATAACACACTCCATTGCCATGGTGAGAGGCGCAAGTTACCCAGGCACCTGGTTACCATGGTGATGAGCACAGGCTAGTCACCTGTGTTGTCGCCTGAGGCTGTTAACGATTATAGCACAGCTGCTATGGGTCTGGCCAAGACTCCTCCCCTTTCTGCTCTCCAGCCCAGAGGTGGCTGTATTCCAGCGACACTGCATGGGCACCTGGTGTGCAGGCTGCTTCTTCACGTGCCAACGTAGGGGGAGTGCAAATTGTCAACTCTAAGCACTCAAAAATTTGGAGTCATGCCTCAAAATTTGTGAGATTGGCTTCAAAACCATCTTTTCATTTTTTTTTTTAAATAACACATTTGGGTTCTTTTCATTTGCCTTCTCATGTCTCAGCCTTTCGGCAGCATGCCAGTCACATTTTCAAGCTTTTCTCCACAACCACCAGGCCAAGAAACTTTCTATTTAAATAAAAGCTGCAGTTCTCCTATAATCCCATGATTCTGGGAGCTGGTGCTTTAAGACAGACCCCAAATGTTATGAGGCTTGTGTGACGGACCCCCCCCCCCATGCTTTTTGAAATGGACTCATGGACATGAATATACATAACTCAAAGGTGGTTTGAGCAAATTATTTCATGTAACCCATCAATCTTCATGTCATGATCTGCTGGTTCTGTTTATCTTACTCTGTTGTATGTATCATTTGTATGCGTAAAATTAGACACATGGTGTTACATGCCAACTTCTAGATGAGCTACTGTTAAACAATCTTTTGTCCTTAAGTCTGAGCAGTGGTTGGCAAGGAGTGGCCTCAACTCCTTAACAAAAGGAATGGGAAAGGAGAGGCCTGAGTCTTTTGGCTGGGCAACACCTGAAGAGAGGAGTCAGGGACCTCAGGGTGTGGAAGAGAGCCCTGGTTTGGAGGGACAGCTGGAAAAGAGGCTTTAGGGTGAGTTTAAGTTTGTATTAAGGTTTCAGTGTAGAATTAGCCAAGCGGTTTTGTTTCTTGATTTGTAACCTACTTTGCTCTGCCTGTTTTCACTTATTACTACTTAAACCCTACGGCTTCAACTTAATAAAACCATTTTTATTTTTATCAAACCCAGTGTAAGCGATTGTTACCTGGGGGGGCAACCAGCGTGCGCATTCGCCCTTTCTTTGTTAAAGGTGGCTTACCTAATTCTTTGGGGTTTGATTCCATCTGGGGAGTGATATCCCAGGAGGCTGGGCCCTAAACTACACTCTCCTTGGGCCTGAAGAGGTTCAGTGTTTGAACTGCTTCTCAGTGGGGGCAGGGACCTCTGCTCAGGACCTTGGCTGGGGGAGATCAGAGAGCTGGCCCAGCAGGACCGGGCAGTGAGGAGCCCCAGAGAGCAGGAAGGCGAGTGGCAGTGGCCATGTCAGCACCCCATGAGGCACCCCTGAGGGGTCGTCTGTAACTGCACCCTGTCACAGCTTGTGATAAAATCACCTGAACTACCAATCTGGACATGCAGATGCACTTCAGTTCCTCTCTATGGGCAGCTCTAAACAGGCAGTTAGGCCAATGTTGGGTGTTGAATCATCAAGGAAACAAAATCTGTTTGTTAAATACCAGGCAGAAGATGTGAGTGTGGTGCGCACACCCTGCATGCTGGCAGATGGAAACCACAACTGGGCAGCATGCAGCAGCCTGATGAAGCTTCCAAGGAGGTTTAATCCACCAGGTGCTTCCTGGTAAGTAATTCCCCCTTGCTGCTGGCTAAACACAGCTTGTTTGCTTAAGGGCAGAGCTAGTTAATGAGTTACAGATAGAAAGTGAATCCTCTTAACCACAGATCAAGAGCAGCCCAAACATCAGCAGGGCAAGATTCACTGCCCCCAATCAAGGTGCCTCTGCCCTCTCTCGGATGCTGTAGCTGGTTTGGACTCCATGGCCTCTGCCGATCCTGCCATCTGGGAGCCAGTTTGTGCTAATTTGCACCTTTTTGGATGTTGAGGACGTGTCCCGCTAGTAGCTTGCCTGAAACCCAGCAAACTCCTATCACAGGGGGGCAGCCGATAGGAATGGGTTCTGATTGCATTGAGCTGGGGCTCTGAATCCTTGTCTCCTAAGCCAAGGGTTCTCCACCTGGGGATCAGGACAGGCCCCATGGAGGCACTGCAACCCACTTGCTCTTCTCATTATTGCGTAGGAGGGGTATCCATGTATGGTCCCAATATGAGAATGGTTGAGAACACCTGCCCCAACCAGCCAGACCACTGGGGCCCCTCCAGTCATGTCACAGAGCGCTTGATATCTCAACTGAGAAATCTACAGCGTTGCTAGAGTTGAACCTGTAGAGTGTGTTCCCTAACGGGTCCCCACGGGGGCTGACAGTGGCAGACTGTGGAGACAGCCCCTAAATCTTGCAGTGATGGGGGTGGTGGAAGACATGTCCCCAAAAGAAAGGGTGGAAGCCCCATCTCTCAGGACATTAAAGGTAGGAAGAGGCAAGACTAGACCACAAGGGAATGGGAATCCGGGTGCTGGGATCTAAAAGGCTTTTCCATCCCTCCTCAGAGGCATAGCTCATCCCAGCCCAAGACTCTGTCTCCCAAGAGCTCATCACACAGCATCCAAACCCATTTGAGAAGCTGGTGGTTTGTTCTGCCTCCTCCCTAAACGTGTCCCTGTGGATTAGCGAGTTGGGAGCAGGATGCTAAGGGCTCCCTGGCCGGACCCTTAATCACAGAGACCCAGCCCCTGGGGGGCAGGGGGGGGGGGCTGAGAAGTCAGGCGTGATTGACAGTTTGGTCTATGATGTTTTGTTCTCCAGGGTCATGGGGCTGGGTTAGGGGTGCATGGAGGTGCTGCAGAGGCACTCAGCTGTACCCCTTCCAGCTGATCCAAGGTTTCAAGGAGAGTCTCAGGAGCAGCCCTCCAAGTTCCAGTGGGAAGCTCTGAATGAATGGAAAAGTCTGTAAATGCCACACCCCTCCCGGGCATATTTGAGAAGTGATGCCTGCCCCCTGGTGGTCATCACAGCTGTTGCTGTGTTGTGTTAATAGATGGGCACCCTGGGCAAATTCCATCTCTGGTAATTAGATCCGGTTTGCTGAGGAGTCCCACCCCACACACCTGGGTTATGTCTACACTCACGGCTTCTTGTGCGAGAAATATGCAAATGAGGCTAAGCGTGGAATATCAGCGAGCCTCATTTGCATACCTAATGAGCTGCCATTTTTGCAAAAGAGGTTCTTGTGCCAGAAGGAGCTGTCTACACTGCCAGTCTTGTGCAAGAAAAACCCTCTTGCACAATGCCGTTATTCCTGAAAATAATCGGCGTAGCGGCATTGCGCAAGAGGGTTTTTCTTGCGCAAGAAGGGGCAGTGTAGACAGCTCCTTCTGATGCAAGAACCTCTTTTGCAAAAATGGCAGCTCATTAGGTATGCAAATGAGGCTCGCTGATATTCCACGCTTAGCCTCATTTGCATATTTCTCGCATGCAGTTTCATTTGGCTCCAGGAGTCGCCTTCCTGGCGTTCCAGACCCCTCAGTAGCTTGGTTTAAAATGTAGGACTGTGAGCTCTGTCCTGGGAGGGGAGGCTAAAGATGAGAGCAGGGGGCTGGGAACCAGAACTCCTGGGTTCTGCTCCCAGGTTTGGGAGGAGAGTGGGGTGAGTAATAGGACTCGGAGATTCCTGGGTTCTGTTCCAAGCCGTGTGGGAGGAAGGCTGGTGCAATGGTTAGGGCCTAGAGTAGGAGGTGGGAGACCTGGGTTCACATCTCTGCTCCTGGGTTGGGCATGGGTCTCTGGCCTGTGTCCCCAAAGGTAACTAGGCTCCTAACTTCCATTGGCAGCCACTTCCCTCCCCTCCACTCGTTCCATTGATCCCAAGGGAAGGTAGGAGCCTCCATGTCTTTGAGGGCTTGGGCCTCAGGTTCCCATCTGTTTAAAGGCAGATCATGAGTTAATTACAGCCTGGGAGGTGGCACTGGGGCAGCTGGTCTTGATTTCACTGTCATTCCCTTAGTGCAGCCCCAGGGAGAGGGTTGGACAGTCACCCCACTGGCAGCCTGCAAAGAGACTGTGAGCCCTAGGGGGCAGAGTGAGACCAGCAGAGAGAGGCTGTTCTGCCCTCCTGGCGCTGTACACAGGTCAGTGGCTGAACCAGCACAGCTCCCGGGGCTGGGAATAGAGCCAAGACTCCTCAGTCCTAGTCATCTGTTTGTCCCCTGGATTCCTTTCAGGCGCAGATCCTGATTCCTAGTCCTGTTCCTTGATCTATTCCCTCCTCAAGCTGGGAATTGAACCCAGGAGACCTGGTTCTTAGCTTCTGCCCTCCACCCTCACTCCCACAGCTGGGAATGAAACCAGCAGGGCCTTCCCCCTGCTCTAACTGCTAGCCCCCACCCCCCTCCCAAAAACTAGAAACCAGGAACCAGGAGTTCATTGCCTGTGAGCTTCTGCTTCGGCCCCAAGTCCCCCCCCGGATACTGTCTTCTTCTTCTCTCCCACCATTCCTGTCCTGAGCCCAAACTAGGGATGTTAAATCTCGGTTAATTGACTAGTCGGTTAACCTCATGAACTCTTATCGGTTACGTGACTATTCTGTAGTCCCTGGGAGTGGGGCTGGCAGCAAGTGCAATCTGGCCCCACTCCCAAAGAGGCCTTGCCACTCTGTGCTAGGGTGCCAGGCGGGAGCAGGTCCCCGAGGGGAGCCAGTTTAAAACCCACTTCCCTTCGCGGACCGGCTTCCTGTCACCCCACACTGTTGCCTCTGATACAGAGGCAGCAGCACGGGGTGACAGTTAAGGATGTTAACTAACGAGTAATTTACTAGTCGAGTAGTCAATGGAATTTCCATCGACTAGTCGATCGGCACTTCTGCATTTCTCCTTTGAAGTGTCATTTCAAAGGAGGAATGTGGAACTCCGTGTACAGCCCAGGGCCAGCGGGAAGTCCTGCTGACTCCGGGCTCCACGCAGGCGCTTACCCTTTGAAATGCACAAGAGCTCCCAGGGGTCTTGTGCATTTCGAAGGGTAAGCACCCGCGTGGAGCCCGGGGTCAGCAAGACTTCCCGCTGGCCCCGGGCTGTACATGGCGTGCCAGCTTTGAAATGTACAAGAGTCCCCAGCGATGGCTCTTGTGCATTTCAAAGCAGAAGCACCTCATGAAGCCTGGGATCAGCGGCGGACTCAGGCTATGTCTATACTGCACTGTTTTGCGCAAAAAAATGCAAATGAGGTGAAGTGTGGCATATTGCCGCACCTCATTTGCATAATTAATGAGCGGCCGCTTTTTGCGCAAGGGGCTTTTGTGCAAAAAGGAGCCTTCTACACAGCTCCTTTTTGTGCAAAAACCCCTTCTTGTGAGCCGTTCTTCCTGGAAAAAAAGCGGAAGAATGGCTCTTGCACAAGAGTGGGTTTTTGCACAGAAAGGAGCAGTGTAGATGGCTCCTTTCTGTATAAAAACCTCTTGTGCAAAAAGTGTCCGTTCATTAATTATGCAAACGAAGCACAGCAATATTCCACACTTTGCCTTATTTGCATATTTTCTTGCATAAAACAGCGCAATATAGATGGAGCCTCAGAGTTCCCCTCTGACCCCGGGGTCCATGCTGCACTGCCGCTTTGAAATGCCACGCGGACCCTGGGCTCCATGTGGCATTCTCCGGAACCCAGGATCAGCTGAGGACTCCCCAGCTGACCCCAGGCTCTGCGCGCTTTGAAATGCCACGCTGGAGCCCAGGGTCAGTCCCCAGCTGATCCTGGGCTCCGCTTGGCATTTCAAAGCGGCAGCACTTCATGGAGCCTGGGATCAGCTGAGGACTCCCCAGATGACTGGGTCCCACAGAAATTCAAAGGGGCAGTACTGCATAGAGTCTGGAGTACAGGCTCCATGCGGTGCTGCCGCTTTGAAATACCCCCCCTAGTTGACTAGTCCTTAACATCAATCAACTAGTTGACTAGTCCTTAACATCCTTAATAGGGAGCATAATCTGTTTAGTATGGTCCCTTTGCCGTCTCTATCTGATAGAGGTAGCAAGTGTGTGTGAGGGGGGAGAATCAACTAGTCGACTCGACTATCCGATAAGCATTTGCTTTTCAGATAGTCGACTAGTCCTTAACATCCTTAGTGGGTGGTAGGTGTATGTGTGTGTGGTCGTGGTTGTGGTCTATCTATAGCATTGACCTATAAGCTTTTGCTTATCAGTTAATTGATTATACCATTACATCCCTAGTCCAAACCAAGTGTGGGCTGAGCTGAGTTGCCACCTGAACACCTTCCTCAGCCTGCAGAACAGGGTGTTCAGTGCATGTGCTTCTGTCCCCATCTCTCTCTTTCCGCCTCCACCAGGATATTGGCTTGCGCAGTCTGCCTCTCACATGTGCCAACAGCCTGCAGGCTCAGAAGAGGGAGGTTTGGGTAGTTGCTCTCTAAGGGCTATAACTCTCTAGCATAGTGAAAGCAAAAACTAAAAGACACACCCCCTTTAAATCCAGCCTAAGGTCCAGGTAATGGGAGCAGGGGTTGGGGGACTGGGAGGCAGGACTCCTGGGTTCTTGTGTCATCTCTGGGAGGGGAGGGGGGTGTCCCATAAGGCACCTGTACTCTGATATAAGTGCAGTCACATTAGAGGCTGGACAGGTATAACTGGCTCTCAACATTCACAGCCCCAGCAGTAATTCTGCTGTACCGAACCTGCACGTAGAGCACATCCTGAGGCATCTTGGTCAGAACTGTGAAGTCCCAGTTGGTGAGACTGTGTCCGGAATGCTGGGAGGACCAAAGGCCGGAGCCCACCTTTTAAAACAGCTGTTGATAAATCAGAACACCCTGGAGGAGATCCACAAAAACGACCCCCAGAGAGGCTGAATGAAAGAGCGTCAGCTGTTGAGCTTAGCAGAACGCAAGCGAGGTGATGAGGCTGCAGTGTTTCAGCCCCGTCACTGGGAGAAACTACTGGGTGCAGGATGGCCCTTTATTCTCACAGAGAAAAGCAGAACAAGCAGCAAAGGCTGGAAGCTGAAGCCAGTTTAGAAACAAGGCAACAATTTTTAAATCAGGCTGATTGACCAGGAGACTAGCACTAAGGGGCAGCGATGGCTTCCCATTCGCACAGGGGGCTTTTCTGGAAGAGGCTTTGGCCAAACACAAGTTACTGGATTAATCGCAGGGTAACTGGGTGACGTGTACTGGCCTACAAGACGCAGGAAATTAGACTAGATGTCCTAGTCTGGTTCTTTTGCCCTTAGTCTCTATGGATCAATTTATGATCGCTGCATGGGCAGAGTTAAGGTTGCTTGGGTGTCTGAATTGTGGGTTTCCAGCTGTAAAGTGCTTGGCTGTCTCACTGTAACTGGGACAGTCCTGATGTTAAAACAGGACAGGGACGTTCTACCCTTCAGTTACTGACATGGTCTCCTAATCTTAATTCCATTTTAATTTAGGTTTCCCACATAGGGACCACGTTCCCTGCCATCACACCAGAGTGGAATACACCTCTCGCTCAGCGCCCTGTAGTGGTCCAGTGAAGAAAAATCTCCCAAGCACTCAGGTACCTGAGATGGGACCAGTATGAATACCAAGCGAGAAACCTGTGCCTGCCAGGGGCAGAATCCACCAGCAACAGGAGGATCTGAGTCCCTCCTGGCCTACAAAGACTTTCCTGTCCCTCTGCAGGTTAGTGATAGTCTCATGCCAAGCCTGAGCCCTGTGAGCATTTGCCTGGAGTGCCTCGCTGCTGTTCCACTGTGCACTCACAGAATTCACAGTTCCGCTAGCCCCGAAGGAACCAGCCCCCTTCAATTCACTGTTCTGCCTAAGGCCTTGTCTATACTGGCCATTTTGTTTCCAAAAACTCCCTTTTGGTGACTCAGCAGTGAGAGTGTCAACAGTGCAATGCGACCGTAGTTAGGAAAAACACCCAGTTTTGGTGCCAAAACACTTCCACCGCTGCAAGAGACTTTTATCTTTTTCCCTCCCTTAATTATCAACAGAGCCGGGCTTTTGTCTACACTGGGAAGGTTTGGCAACAAAAGTGCTGTCAACAGGCAAAAGCTGCCGAAAGTGAAAACTAGTCATGCCATTTTTTCTGCCTCCCGTTGTCACCATTTCATGGACACATGGCTAGCACTCTGATGACAGACAGATTGTATTCCCAAAAAGCAGTTTTTGGTGACAAAACATGTCAGCATTGACAAGCCCCCATGTGGACCCTGCTGTTTGTTTTGTGGAGAGGACTGGCTTCTGCCAGTATCCAACACCACTTGCCCTGGTGGCTCTGCTCAGTGTTTTGTGATCTCTGCTGCCCTGCAGGCTTGCCCCCCCCCCCCTCCCCTTTCAAAGCTCTGGGAAGTATCTGGCAGTTGAGCGAGCTGCTCTGTTTGGGGAAACAAATAAGGAAGAAATCATTGGAAGGCTCCTGTTCTGACCTGCTAGGAACACAGTGGCAGGCAGGCTGCTGCTGCAGGGGGAGGGCTGGAGAGGCCGCTGTGCTGCTTTGCCGTTCCTCAGCACTGAGAGCTCATAGATCTACAAGGGAATCCCAAGAAGCGCGGGAATCAGCTTTGCTTTCCCACAACTCCGCCTGGTGGGATGCTCCCCCACAATGCTTTGCTCTGTCTGTTAGCAAGGTGCTAGCCAAGTGGCCATGAAATGGTGACAATGGGAGGCAGAAAAACTGGTTTTATCGGTTTTCACTTTCGTTGACTTTTCCACGTTGGCAGCACTTTTGTCGCCAAAACTTCCCAGTGTAGACAGAGCCTAACGTAGCACGATGTGAGTATGGAGAAAACACGGCTCCGTTTATCGAATGGAGGAACAAGTGAAAACAAATGGTGATCTCTAAAATCCAATCGCAGCATGCATCCTAGAGCCTGCACTTAACTAATGAGGTATTTTCCAGTCTCCTAGCACTGAGCTCACCCCAGAGCCTTTCTTCCAGTGCTTTACAGGCCCTCCAGTGCCTATGACCCTCCATTGAGAAGACACGCTGCCAGCAGCCTAGCTCCTCGGTGAAGGATAAGATCTTGTCCCCTCTTCTCTTCTGTTATGTAGCTACAGAATCAAGTTCCTTTCCCCAAAAGACCCTCCCTTTCATCTTTTCTCTTTGCAAGCCCTCACGCTTGACGCTGGCCAAGACAGCAAAGGTCTCTGGGAGCATCTACTGGTTTGTATGCTGATTGAATTGGCCCTGGGCCATGCAATATACACACTCCGGCTACGTCTAGACTGGTATGATTTTCCGCAAATGCTTTTAACAGAAAAGTTTTTTGTTAAAAGCATTTGCGGAAAAGAGTGTCTAGATTGGCACAGACGCTTTTCCCCAAGCACTTATTGGGGAAAAGCGTCCGTGCCAATCTAGATGCGCTTTTGCGCAAAAAAGCCCCGATCACCATTTTCGCCATCGGGGCTTTTTTGCTCAAAACAAATCTGAGCTGTCTACACTGGCCCTTTTGCGCAAAAGCTTTGCGCAAAAGGACTTTTGCCCGAACAGGAGCAGCATAGTATTTCCGCAAGAAGCACTGATTTCAGACAGTAGGAAGTCAGTGTTCTTACGGAAATTCAAGTGGTCAGTGTAGACAGCTGGTCAGTGTAGACAGCTGGCAGCTAGACACAGCCACCCTGACAGAAAGGGAAACATGGTTGTTCCTTCCTGCCTGGGGACTGCTTTATCTCACAGACCTTGAGACATGATTCCTTACATATCCACACATCCGCTTTGCAATCATCACAATGTCCAGTGTCTTGCTGGCTTTGGGTAGAGACTTCACAGGCCACCGTTTGGCATGCTATAATATAGATATTAGCCCCACAAGATCCCTCTAACTCTACACACGCCACTGTCCTCTGCCAGCTGGTATCAAGGGGTCGCAAACCCCCTCTGCTACTGGAGGCCCTTTTGGTGTATGTGTGGTATATTATGCAATTGACAAAAGGAAGAACCCAATGCGCAGAGCCAACAGCCAAAAACCTGGTGCATGGAGTGGCAGCAGGAACCCCAGGTACTAGGCCAGGAGCCTGGGGTGCTGTAGCACTCCTTATCCCCCTAGTTCCCATGTCTATGGCCAAAAGCCCCTTATGGAAGCACCCTGGGATTTGGCCCAGTGATCACCCATCCAGCCTAGCTTCCAGGATCTGAACTGGACTCAACGGCTCTGTTCTGCACAGGCGGTCCTTTGGGGAAGTCGCACTCCCTTGGGAAAGTCACGGTCCCACCAGCTCAGAACACGATAGCTGCTGCTTATCTGGGATCTTCTTCTTCATGATGCTGTGGTTAAGGGAGAGATGAGGCACCGAGATTTGTAATAACGAGAAACCCAACAAGTCCGACCTCTTGGGCAGCCTATCCTTACAGACACTCAAACTAGTTCCCTCTTTCTTTTCCTCTGTAACTTATCTCTCTGGCACACCCTGCCCTGCCATCTCTCTTGGGCCTTGCTGCCAGCTAAACCGTTGGGGTTGCAAAAGAAAATCCGTTTGTGTGGCAGCCCCATGGGGCTGGGGAGCTCGTGTAATAGAAATCTTAGAGTTCAGTGGCACAACAGACCCCAAGAATGGGGTGAGATTGGACAGCCTGTCTGTTATGTAAATGATGCTAGGCAGACAATGATAAGAGGACAAGGACATCTGTGTTCAGGGAGGCCAAAGGTGATGGGCACTATAGAAAATCCACAGATAGTGTGGATGGGGTAAAGAGGGCTGCATGGTGGGGTGCATATGGGGATGGAGAGAGGGATGTGTGTGGATGGAGGGGTGAGTGCATGTGGGGACAGAGGAATTACCAGTGGGGTGTGTATGTTTTGGGATAGAGAGGGGGCATGTATGGAATGCGTGCATAGTGGGGTGTGTGAGGGATGGGTGAATGGGAGTTTGAGTATGGGGCTAGAAGATGTATGTGGGGATGGGTGGAGGGAAGGATGCGTATGGAGATTGAAGGAATTGGTGGTTGAATAGCGAGGTGCATATGGATTTGAGTGGAGGGATGCTATGTATGGGATGGATGGATAGTGGAGAGTGTAGCGGGGTAAGGGTATGGATGAGAATGGAAGGGTGTTTATGGGGATGGGTGGTTAGTGGGGTGCATGAAGGGATAGGTGGTTAGAACATGTAGGTGTGGATAGACAGATACTCTATTAAAACCGTATCTCAGAATCCTCTGATTGAGGGTCCTGAATTGGCCTGGGGCAGACCCCTGCTTACTGGCAGTCTGGGCACAGGTTAGCCAGGCACCTGGCTGGCCATCTGCTGGGTATGTGTAACGTCCCAGAGCTGTTTCCTGTTAGCTGGGGGTTTTGCCCCTGTTTTGAACAGTGTTGTTCTGAGCTCTTAAACAGACAGCTAGTTCCGTCTGTGAGATGGCTGCTTTTTTGTGCCAGGCAAGGAATCCCTATACAAACAGCCCCCACAACCCACCTCAGAAACAGCTGCATCTCAGCATTGGGTGAGGGATCCCTGAATGAACAGCTGCTGTGCCCCACCCCAGAAGATGCTGCATGTTAGTAGTAGGGAGGATAGTAAATAAATAAGCCAGGGAAGCTGCATTTCAGAGATCTTTGTTCACACAGCTTGCAAATCGTGTGCACTGCTGCAGGAGGGGCTGTAGAAATGGGGAGGCTTTGGTATTAGAACTTCCTCCACAGTAGAACCTTTAGCTCTTTACCATGCACAGAGCCCTGGCACTGGCTATTTCTCTTCTTTAGGTTTCCTGGACAGACTTTACAAAGGCAAAGATGAAACATTTTGGGGCCTCTGCGAGAAGCCGTGCCTTTAGCTGGGGACTCACAAGCCTTCAGTGAAGGTAGGTTGGTCTCTTCACAGAGGGGAAAGTGGGGCCTAAGTGAGTTGACCGAAACCTCAGGAAAAGTCAGTGGCAGAGCAAAGACGTCCTGGCTCCCAGCTGCTGTCTGCTGGACCCCTCCCAAAGAGAGGCTCGCAGCCATGGACCCCCAGGTTAGCATGCATCCCCGCCCTGTACCCAGGTCTCCTTCCTCCACTGGGGCTCTTTTATCACCTGCCCCGCTCGTGGTTATTATGGGCTGGGCTGGGCTAGGGTGACCCCCATTGACCAGGGGTGAGAACGAGCCTGATCAGCTGTGAGCTGGCCCTTTAAGAGCGCCCGAGAGATCACGTGACCTGACAGGCGGCGGCGACGCAGCCAGCGAGAGGAGGAGGCGTCTCCCCCCGAACGCGTGGTCGCTCTTCATTGGCCGAGCCCGACAACCAATTGCAAGC